TACACCTCGTAAAAATGCATCCAGGCGCCGCTTCCCGGTTCTCACCTTTCACTCTTGTTTCCTGCTCGTGCGTGCTCACTGGTGGATCCTGGTGTTGGTGCTTCTCTGCTGCTGAGCTTGGCTGTCTTCTTCAGTGCCATTGTTCCCCCATCCCTTCCACCATGCTGCCCTGGTTGCTCCAGGTGAACACCTCTTGAGCCCATCCAGCCAGTTTGCTTTGGGCTCCGACCATGGAGAAAGTTTCATTTCATTTCAGAGCTGCCATCATGCAAGCAAGATTCATGAGAAGGACTCTCGTCACCGGTTAACTGAGTTGTTAACTAAAGTGAGGTGCTTCCGTGGAATGCTGAGGTGAAGGGGCAGGGGACCAGGGATAAACACAGATGCTCTCCTGGGACATTTCCCAAGGGTGCCCTTTCTTTTATAAGAAAGCTATTCCTAGCTGGTAGGGTCCCTTGGAACTTATCTGCCGATTCCAGGTCACTCCTCCCACTGGCATCATATTTCCAAAGCAGGAAGAAGGTCTGGGGTTAGCAGGTGGCACGTGAAGGCCATGCTTGCTGGTGGCTGCCCTGTCCAGGTCAGACTGTGAGAAGCTGTGGCCAGAGCTGTCAGAGCTGGGCTGGCACCTTGGCTGTTGTTCTGGGGATGACAGATGTGAAAGATCAAACATCCCTCTCCGTGTGTGTTTCCTCCAGTTGGATGCTAGGACGATGATAGACATTTCCTTATGTTGTGGCAGGTAGCACACAATCTTAGATGACGAGTTTCCAAAGCAGAGGCTTAATGTTCAGAATGTCTTATGATGCTGGGGACACATTCACTGGCCTTTACATGTCATTGACCCTATTAGTACAAGGAATTTACTGGTAAAATAAGGTAATATATGTCATAACCCTATCGTTCCTTTAATCCTTGACGTGCATGTGGAGTTGCTCCTTTGAGACTGAGCTAGATAACTTATTTATTAATTCATGCATTGATTCATTTGGTTATTACTTGACATTTGATATGTGCCAGACACCATAGGCCCTGATAACGGAGGATAAATAAGATGTGGCCCTGTCCTCTAGGAATTAACCATTTAGGAGGAAAGGCAGATAGGTTCACATTTAGAAACCAATAATTTCGTGAGCACAGTGTTTGGTACAGCACGAACACGGTCCTGTGGCATCACATAGGGAAAGTACCCAAGCGAGATTCGGCCATCTGGTAGCCTTTCCCAAACAGGTAGAGGGTGCGGCATGGGTATTAAGGGTCAACAGGGGGAGAGGCAACTGCAGAAGCCCAGAGGCAAGAGAGAGCACCTTGCCTCTGGGAGTGCAGGCGGTCAGTGTAAAGGGCCAGTGACTGAGCGAGGCTGGAGCGGGGCACACGGGCCTGACCTCCATCAGAGGGCCATGGTGCCGTGTCCTGGAGGGCGGACTTTCTCCTGAAGGCAGCAAGGAGTCCCCGGAATGTAGTGAGAAAGAGACACATTCAATTTCTTATAGCCATCTTACAATGAATTGTAATGGAAAAGAATCTGAATATAAATATCTATGTGAATATGTATAACTGGACTGCTTTGCTGTCCACCTGAAACTAACATGTAAATCGAATACACTTCAATAAAAGATAAAAATTAAAAGAAAGAAAGAGGCATGATCGAAACAGCATGGAGACGTGGGTCTGTGTCAAGATTGTGGCAGTGGGACGAGAGGAGGGAATGGCCTTAGAGATAATGGAGAAGTAGGATCCGGAGACCTGGAGGGGTTTCAGGGAGGGAGGACCCACATATTACCCCTGGATTCCAGCTTGGGTGACTGATGCGTGTAAGATGTTGCTCTTCACTATAACAGGGAATAAACAAGGACGAACAGGCTTGATGGGGAGCGTTACCACGTTGACCAGAATGTTACAGTAAAGCCAGGAGACAAACCATCACGTCTTTGGGTCTCACCGGCTCCCAAGGGAACCTTTCTTTGTATCGTCCCTTCCAGCAGAGCCCAAACTCACTAAATCATGCTCCTCGATTATTGGGAAGTAAGCCTTATCTTCCTAAAAAAGGAGCGAAGGCCAAAGGAGTGTGTATCCGAAGGAATACTCCCAGCTGCTCTTGAAGGTGACGACCTTCCCGTTAGCCGTAGCTTTTCAAGGAAAAAGATGTAGGTGCTTTTAGCGCAGAGCTCCATTACCAGCTTCTGTTCTGAGAGCTGGAATGTTACAATGTACACACGCACGTATATTAAAAAGCAATTTAGAGTGATTTAGGAAAAAATTATAATCTTACGAGAATATAAATCAGTCTGTCCTTGACTTGAAGGTTTCGCTGTTGCCACTCATACAATTTCAGAGAAGGCAGAGCAAAAAATAGAGACGGTCCAGAGAGGGCAGTAAAAGCGAGAGAAACTGAAGGGAGAGGATGTGATTCTAGAATCAAAACCAAGAAAAATTGGGAATCCTCATCTTGTTGCCCTGAAAGAGGAGCAGAAAAACACAGAGGCAGAGAGAGAGAGAGAGAGAGAGAGGATTGATACAGAAAGTAACAAAAGGAATAGCCAGTGGCCGGTGCTGCCGCTACAAAGCTGATTATATTGAAAAATACAAAACTTTGGGTTGAAGAAAAAAATGTTTCCTCTTAGAGGGATAACATATGTAATTAAGCTGCTGGGGATTCTTATGGAAACAACTGGTATCTTGAAATGCATCATCTGTTTTTCTTCTGGGTGATAATGCTTGCGCTGGCAACTTAATTAAGGAGGAAGCTCTGGATCATAATGCTTTCCTCGGAAATGCTCAGAAGCTCAGTCAAGGAGGCGGAGTCCCGGGCTGAAGAGTAGCATTGACAGCTAAGCCTGACGTGGAGCATTTACGTCACCCTGAGCACCGAGCATCTGGAGGCTGGAAGCCCCTGATTGGTTGAATTTTTCACATTTCTCCTGGTTATCACACCAGCTGCTGGGGGAAAAACCTGCACAACTGGATGGGTTTGAATGAGTGTAATTTAAAACATTTTAAAAAGTGATCTGTAACCATTAAATTACTTTAAGATCAATAGTGGTCTAAGCATTAGGAAGCTGAAATTAAAAAAAAATTTTTTTTTCAGCTGGATTGTAATGTTTGGAAATGGAACTGTCAGAGCAGAAACAAAATACCAAATTTCATTAAATCTGACAACCGAAATCCTAAGACAAATTCTGACTGCACAGAGGCATTAAGATGTGAACAATATTCAGAACTGATCAAACGTGGTATTTTGATAAAATGGCATATTCGCAAATATGTACGCACACACACACACACACACAGAAGTGACAGAGCATTCAGTGTTACTCTCCTTTTCCTGCTTTTTTCCCGCCCCTCTGTTTCTGCATTTCCCTCTTATTTATCTATTTCTATTTCTTAACTGACCTACTGTCTCAGTTAGATGTGTCTGTCTTTGTTTCTTTCTTTCTCTTTCAAAGTCAGGTAACACCAGCGGAACAGAGAAGTATGGGTATTTTTATTGGTTTTCGTTGTGTGGATGTGCACCTGTTAGAAATGGAAAGCCACTTTTTAATTTTGTTTCTTCGCAGTCTGGCCTCTTTGTCATCCTTTCTGTGGGTTGAAAAGTGGACTCTTCTGAGCCCTGGCCGCCCGAGTTCAGGTGCTGCGTGTGTGACCTGTGGGGTCTGGAGCGTGTCTGGTCCTGGACGGCTGAGAAGCTGGCTTTCCCTCTGCTCTGTGTGGGGCTGAGGGGCCGTTACCCCTAAGGACCCAGATGCTACGGGACTAACCACAACACGATCGTGTGTGAAAATATTTCCAAGTGATTTGGAAGAGATGTCGTATATTTTCTTCGGTATCCGTGGTTCTCAGATTTGAGCGCAACAGAGAATCTCCTGGAGGGGGTGTTAAAACCCAGACGGCTGGGCTCCACCTGGGAGGTGCTGATTTGGTTGGTCTGGGTACTTATTCCAGGAAGCACACCCTGAGAACCGCTGTTTCTCATCGGCCTGCACTGACCTCCATGGCTAAGTGAGGTCAGCACTCGAACACCAGGATGCTGAGTTTCTGAAGGCCACGGTGATGGGCAGCGTTAGACCTGCCCTGTCCGATGGAAGCATGACTTGAGCTGCCCTTGTGGGAGGAAACATTACTCTGATGCGTGTATTATCATTACCTGCTGATAGAAGAAAATAAGACGAGAACACTGACCTTTACATGTTATTTTTCTAACTTGATGCCACGTGAGAGGTACATCCAGTTGGTCCACGAGAGGATGCACATAGATCCTCAAGGACTCTAAAAGGAATGCATTCCAAACCTTAAGCCCTGGGAATTAGCCCTTTAAATGCACTCATGGAGAAAGCAGTGTTAAAGCTGAACTTTGGGTGAATAATCTGGTTCCTGTGTTAGTGAAGGTTGGATTAAAGGTCTTAGACCAACTGAAGCGCAAGCCAGGTTCAGAGACCAGGGGCTTCTCAGCTCCGCCTTCATGAGATGAAGGTTTGACTCTGAAGTGTTGGATCTCTGTCCTTTCCACCCTTCTCTTTTCAATTGAATAAAACAAATACTATGTGTAAGTGGAGTAGTCGTTGAAGTCGGTGAGACCGTACGTGCTGGTACCTGTGATGGGGACAGTCTGTGCGGCCCTGACATTTGAATTTTGCGAGAGGCTTTTATCCCGGAACGTTGTTCTGTTCACTTCTCACGCTCTCTCATTTCCGTGGGCTGCCGCCGTGTGCACCCCAAAACCATTTGAAGTGACTAAAGCTCTGAGGAGTGGTTGCTTCAGAAAAACTGGCATTTCAGAGCGATGGTGTTTCCCCTCAATCTCTGTTGGCGTTTGAAGTCTTCAAAGCGTCGCTCTGATCAGAGCAGCACTTTCCCGGGAGCTGGTTCTCGCCGAGGACGCGGCGGTTTGAGGCCGGCTGCTTCAGGTCGCCCCTCCTGGGAGCAGCTGCTCTCAGGGACTGTGCTTCCAGGCCGAGACCTGGGGCTTGAAAGATTCATCTTCAGTGCAGAACGCATAAATATAAAGTTAACCTAGCTTTAAAATAAGCTTCAAAGTCACTTAAAAGTGGAGTATTTCTTGCGGCACGTCGAGGCGGCCAAGTCCCTGGTGACAGCGCTCGTCAGTGACCCCGTCCGTGGTCCGCAGAGTCTGGTCACAGCTCCCCACGGGAGGACAAGCGAAGGGGACGGGGGAGAGAGGACCTTCTGTCTTCTCCGTTGGCGGCCTTATTATTTCTGGTCTCCTTTTTGCATATCAAGTTGTAGCTCAATAATTGTCTTAAAATGATGAGAGTTAGACCTCAGGAGAAGTTGTGAGACTATTTAGTGAACGTTTCCCATGTGCTTGGAACGATGCAGAGTGATTTTCATGAATTATCTCATTTATTTCTGACACCAGCCTCGGGAAAACGGGGATCATCACTGCTGTGATACACGGGTGGAAGCTGAGGCTTGCAAGGGTGGAGGGATTTGGTCATTTGGCTCTTAGGTGGCGGGGCCTGGACGAGAACCGGCTTTTTGATGCAGAGTCTATGGCCTTCGTCATCTTCTTTTTGAAAAAAGCAGGGGCTCCTCTGACTGAGCAGTCCTTTCTTAGGGAAGACTAAGTAAAAATTCTTTCCACAAATACTTACAGGGGGTTCCTATGCAGCCTTGGCTCTAGAAATTTTTCTGATGCAGCAAGCGATCGACGCTGCCCGTGTTCCCCCCGCTAAGACCCTAAGAAGGTCTGGTGAACAACCATTATGTAGATTAAACTGCTCATGGCTTGGCACTTCTATATAAATACAGCATGTGCATATTTTATCCCATTTAGGGAAATCAGATGGTATTTAAAGACATGGAAAAATAAAACATTAGGAGTCAGATTTCTTACCTGGGTTCTGATCTAGCAAGCCACTGAATTGTCCCCAGCTCTGCTTTCCAACATGTCTGAAGGTGGATGGAATTAGAATCTTGTGGAATTCAGCTCTTTGGAGTCAGGGAGCGTCTTAGGTAAACGCACAGGTGAGATGTCACAGCTCCTCCAGGAGTGTCGTGGGTCCTCTAACGCCTAGAGGTTTCTAGACCCTTGCCAGAGCCCTTGAATTAGTTAATCTCTTGCATTTCCGGGGGCCTCCTGGTTGGGAGACGTCTACAGCTGGGCTAAGTGAACCTTCGTAGATCCAAGCTTGTGGCTCGCAGACGGTGGACTTCTGGTGGATTGGTGCTGGTCAGAGCGCGTTTGCTCAGCCTCCTGGAATTGCTGCAGGTTGTCGGGTCCATTGATTTGACTGGGATTTCTGCAGAGGTGGCTGCAGAGCTGGGAGAAGAGCAGGTGGACTTGGAATCGTCGGACCTAGCTAATTTGAAAACTCAACCTGTCTGGCCTCAGTTTCTCCTTTTGTGTAAGGAATGAAGACTGTGTGCAATGTGATTTCATGTGGCATTTAAATGAGGTAACAGATGATGAGACCTATAGGCAAACCAGTTGCAGATGGAAACAGGCCTGGTGATTGTTCATCACATGTTTGCTTGTTGCTTAAATACTTCTCAGAGGGTCATGTCTGGCAGACTTAGGGTCTTCGGAGGGGCCGACCTGGCAGGTCAGAGATACTGTGCAGCTGATAGAAATGGTCCCTCAGGACTGTAGGGACCTCTTTGTGGGTCATGGGAAACCATGAGATCTGGGAAGGCCACCTGAGAAAGGGCGATGAACTTGAAGATCAACGTTGCCAAGGGAGGAGGGTGGGCTTAACCTTTTGGAGAACCCGAGGTAGTCTTTGGATCTGTGGTCTCCAAAGGGCTAGACAAGCCACAAAAAGAGCCTCTTGGTGGGAAAACCTCCACCTAATAAATTTAACATCTAATCAAAGGTAGCATACCGTAACATCAGAATTCATGAATTAAAGATATGCGTGGGGAGCATTTCAGAACACTTATTTGTTTGTCCGCTCTTTCTTATGTTTTACGCAAGGGAAAGCTTTCTGAGAGACGTGCATGTCATTTTTGTGTTCACAAATCCAGCAGGTTTTGATGGCTGGGCTTCACAGCTCTACTCCTGGTGTCTTCATTCCTCTTGCAAGAGTTTTGTCTAATGTCTTAGGTCTGCAAGAACAAAGTGTTTTTGTCTCTTTGACGTTTAATCTCATTTTTCTCTTTTTAAATTCTTGTAATTGGTGCACATTCTGTCATTTATGAAGCCCCAGTCTCGTTAACGCCCGGTCAATGCTTAATCTGTTTTGTTCTGCTTTTATTTTCAGATTGAAGAATTCCGAAGGCTGAGGACACATGTGAAGGGGGCAGAGCTTGTGGAAGGCTGTGATGGGATTTTGGGAGACAATTTTAGACCCACTCAGCCACTGAGCGACAGAGTCATAAGAGCTGCATTTCAGTAGCCAAAGAGAACTGGAACCAGGGCGTCTTCGTCTGGGTACGTGCGGACTAAGTAAGGAAAATGCGGTGCACAGTTAAGCCTTGTTCCACCAAAGCTGCTCTCGTGATGGTCCTGATCATTTAGCGATACGAACGCACTGCGTTTAAATTTGGGACACATTCTCAAGCCCTGTTAATTATGAGTCAGGTGGTTTTTAAAAAATTTCATGCTGTGTTGAAAAAAACCAAAACAGTCCTTATGTTTTCCCAGCAGAGCAGCCCTTCAGCCTAACTTTCGCTTTAACATTGGCTTCCGTAAGAGAAGGCGCCCCAGGCAGAGCAGCAGCGGTAACGTGGTGCCTGCTTACTGCTTTCCTCTGTGGCTGCACCCTTGAAAGTGCAGCTGTCACCTCCTGATGACCAGGGGCCATAAAAGAAGGGACTGGAGGCGGGGGGTGAGCCTCCAGGCTGGCCCTCGTTGTCCAGTGCAGATTTGGGCGTCTTGCTTACCTGGGTGGGCGGGCGGGCGAGGGCAGAGCTGGCACCAGTGAAAATGCTTGTTCCGTGGAAGTGCTTTTGTTTGCTAGGTCAAGAAACACTTCCTCATCCTCTGAGTATGGTATGTTTCTTTATTGATCGAAACAGAATTATACATTTTAATATATTGAATTCAATGTATGTATTCCTTACCCTTAAGGACTGACAAAATAAAACATACACGTGGAAAAGATAAAATGTACATAAACGCCTGTGTACTGGATGACTTCTTCACCTTGTCGTTGGCCCAGGAGCGCGTACCTGGGTCAGTGTGCGTTGCTGGCAAACCGCTGCTTCCCGTGGGAGGGAAGCGTTTGTTGCAAGTTTCCTCTGCGTGCAGGACAGAGCTTTGGCTGTTTAATGGACCACTGGGAGTCGGGCCTCTCATCCCCTGTGAGTGGCACAGTGGACCAGGGAGTCACAGAGGGACAGACATCTCTGCCTCGAGCTTGCAGTCTCACGAGCTAGACAGTCAGCATAGGAATTTTAAAGGGTGATGGATCATTTTGTCCGCGTGCTTCCCTGTCCACTTCCTCGCGCCTCTGTTATTACTGGACTGATGCGCCCTGTGCTCCAGCAGCCCGTCTTTTTTCTTCTGTGAATGTGCTTTGCTTACCCAGGTCCTCCTCCCCCTTTCTTCTGCCCATTGAAATCCTAGCGCCCACAGGCCCCAGCCTCTGCCCTCCGCACGAATGCTCTGCCTGTCCCTTAAATTGGGCCTCTTGTTTCACTTTTTTCCTTCCATGTAACTGCTCGTGTATTTCTTATTTCCTCTGCTAGACTTCAAGCTGCCTAAGGGTTGAAACCTGTTGATTTTGCTTTGACTCCATCATGGCACGTGGCTCTTTGGGTCTGGAATGTCTTTAGGGAAATCAGAAATTCCTTGAAACTCTGTGTCCTGTGCCAGCCAGCTCTGTGCCAGTTGCTCCTTCATTCTCTGTTTCTCTGTTAGCCAGTACCCTTCGCCTCTTCTTCTAATTCTGGGGATGGTGAGGGCCAGGCAAAGTCACCCTTGGTGGGAATGAGAAGGAACTTTCAGTAACTCATCCATGGTGAGATGGAGAAAATCCCAGAGGGCTTTAAGCGAGGTCTTAACAGTGGATGAACTAAATAATATTAAATAATATTCAATCAGAAAATCATTGAACATTGACTTTGGGATTGGTTCTGTGTATCCAGAGCTGAAAAGAAAAGATATGGTCTCCACCCTCCCTCCTAAAAGTCTCAGCTAGGGAGTCTGATGATGGCAGAACAAACACTTCAAAAATACACGTAAACACATTGTGATGAATTCCATAAATGAAAAGAACAAAGAAAGAGAGTGAAAGGGATTTCAGACAGAGGGAATGTCTTTTGCCAAGACCCGAGGGGCCACTCCCTGTGGAGATGGGGAGAATCTGAAGCACCGGGGTACCTGGAAGAAGCCCGGAGGGTCTGGAGGATGGAAATCAAAGGGGAAGTCAGGCAGGGCCCCTGTCAGACGGCCTTGTCAGCCAAGTTAAGACATCTTCATTTCATCATGTGGAGACCCCCTAAGGGTTCTCAGGGGTGTGACCTGATCCATGTATGTTGTCAGGAGATCACAGTGGCTGGAGAATGAGTGGACTGGATTCCTGTGGGCCAGGCCAGGAGTAGAAGGGAATTGTAGAAGTCCACTGGGTAGCCTGGTGAAGGCATGGCGGCTGGATGCTCGAATAGGAGTAGTGCAGGTGGAGAGAGGTTAACATGCGTGAAAGAGCCGTTGCAAGTGACATCTGGTGATAAACTGGGCGAGGGCAGAAGGAGAGGGAAATACCAAAGGAAACTTCTGGAGCTTGGGGCTTTAGAAACTGTGTGAACAGAATGCCATTGCGTAGCAACAGGAAAGCTGGAGGAGGCTCCGTCTGAGATGGAGAGAGAGGGGCAAGGCTTATCAATCACAATAGTGGACCCATCATGAAGGCAGCTGGAATTTTCGAGAGTGGAGATCAAAAAAAGTCTGAAGTCAATGGGGGAGTCGTTGGCAGAGAGATTGTACGCAGATGTGTAGGTATAATGTTCTAAAGCTACCTAGGGTTGACCTCAGGCGTTCATAACATCTTAGGTGATACTTTAGGACAAGGTAACCAAAGACAGAGAGGTTAGGTCATTTGCCCAAAGTAACTCAGTCACTGAGCATCGGAACTGGAAGCTGGACGCAGGCAGCCTGGCTGGCAGAGCGTCCCCACGCTGGTGGGCAGGATGGCAGGCTGATGGGGCATGCGTGTTGCATGAGCCAGACGTCGAGTGTGAAGGGAGGAGGTGGGGGACACCTTGTGATGGCAGCTCTTGATAAAGCTGGGTGGGGAGGGAGCAGAAGGCTGCAGCAACAGACAGGGGTGGGACTGAAGGGGTCTTCTTTTCCAGCCGAGATAAAATTGGCATATAACATTGTATAAGTTTAAGGTATAGGATGTGTATTGATTTGATACATTTTTCTATTACAATTTGATTACTGCCTTAGTGTGGACTGACAGCTCTATCATGTTGCATATATATCATTTCTTTTTTTGAGGTGAGAATGAGACTTTTTAATTTTATTAAAAATTTTTTTTTGTTGAAATATAGTCAGTTTACAACGTTGTACTAATTTCCAGTGTACAGCATAGTGATTCAGTTATACATACATATATATTCCTGTTCATATTCTTTCTCATTATAGGCTATTGTAGGCACTGAATGTAGTTCCCTGTGCTAAGAAGACCAGAACTTCTCTCTGTGAGGGGAGCGAGCCGGTGGACGGGAGGAGCTGAAGTTGCTGATTCTCAGAGGGGCTAATCCCAGCAGGAAAGTCTCTGAAAAACTGAGCAGGATCCTAAACAGACATAGAGACTGACTTTGGCTAAGAGAAAGGACACTTTCTGTGCTGTAATATGAAGGCTGGAGGGGGTGGTTTATAGATAGTGATTCACGACTCACTTTACTGTTTGAGGCAAAATGGGGTAAAAATGGTGAGAGCAGAGGGAGGGTGGGAGATTGAAGCAGAGGGAGGGTGGAAGGGGCTCACAGGCATGACCCAGTAAGAGGGGCAGGCAGTGAGGTGCAATGAGGTTTGCTGAACATGAATTTATGGATTGCTTCAGTAGGTTTGGTATGCCTGCTTGCTGGATCGGTAACTGAAAGTGACACTTTTTACTTTTTAAAAATTTATTTTATTTTATTTTTTATTGGTGTACAGTCAGTTACAATGTGTCAATTTCTGGTGTACAGCAGTGTTCCAGCCATGCATATACATACATATATTCATTTTCATTAAAGGTTATTACAAGATATTGAATATAGTTCCCTGTGCTATACAGAAGAAACTTGTTTTTTTAAATTTATTTTTATATGTAGTGGCTAACATTTGCAGATCTGAAACTCCCAAATTTATCCCTTCCTACCCCCTTTCTCCAGTAAACATAAGATTGTTTACTATGTCTACGAGTCTGTTTCTGTTTTGTAGGTTAGTTCATAATGTCCTTTTTTTCTTTTCCTTTTTTTTTTTTAGATTCCACATATGAGTGTTACCATATGGTATTTTTCTTTCTCTTTCTGACTTACTTCAATTAGAATGACGATCTCTAGGTCCATCCATGTTGCAGCAAATGGCATTATTTTATTCTTTTTTATGGCTGAGTAATATGAAAATGATACTTTTTATGAAATAAGATTATTGCCTTGAATTTTTGATCCATGTCTGGCCTTACACCAGACTTGCCCTCTCTAAATAACTAAATAGCCTTCGCTATTTTATCCCTCTCTTACACACACACACACACACACACTCTGAAATGTTTATGAGAAGATTACATATATTTCACATACTTCATATTCATTATATGATAGGAAGATAATGTGTAATTTTCAGTCTTAATAATTATAGTTTACATATTTTAAGAAAGAGGATGGATTTATTTCCCTGTTTTCGTGGCTGAGATTACTTAAAAGGGGGTCATTTTTTAACAAAATTCCTAAGAATGGTGCAGAAATTCTTTCAAAGGCGACTTCAATTCTGTCTTCACCCTTTTATGAATACATTTTTGATCCTTTTATCTTGAAATGTGTAATACAAATCTAGTCATACTTCTACATAAAAATTATATTGGGAAATCAGACTTATGGATGTGTGCTTTTTATTTGATATTTAATAATGCCCTAAGGCAGGTAATTCAAATTTTTATTAAAGTGAAATGATTTGACAGTCAGACTTTGAATTTAATGCATGAATGTTTCATTTAAGCTCTTGGAACTGAAAAGGAAAAAAACCCTTTTTTCCTGATGGTTCTCTAAAAAATGTTCAAAATAATTCAGATTTATTTCAGCTACGTTTTACTAAAATAACTTTAGTTTTTGGACTTAAAATGACATTTTTTTTTGCATGACATGTCTAGACATCTGGAGGGTTTTGATAACCAAGACTTACTATTCCCATGAATAATCTGTGACTTTTTATATCACCATTTAGGAAGATTGAACGATGGTTTTGTACTTGTTTAAAGAATTAGCATATAACTCACCCAGGTGCAGGGCTAGTTCAGATTTCTGGGGGCCAATTTGAATTGAACTTTCTGATCGACATAGGAGAACCAAATCTCAGTAACAGTAAACCGAAGTAAGACCCAGCTTTATGTCCAGTTTACTTGCTAATATTGGTACTAACCTTCCAATGAAATGATTATTTTTCTGTTTGTTTCATTAAG